CCCCTCCTCCTCCCTCCAGCCCCTGCTCTCCCGCACAGTCTCCAGCTTCTCTCTCTCTCTCCCCTTCTCTCTCTTTTCCTCTCTGCCTCTCTCTCTGCTCTCTTTCTCGGGCGGAGTCACCCACCACTGCCAGCCCAGTCCTGGGGGGACCTGCTCCAGGCTGTAGCCGCAGGTAAGAGACCCCCCCAGCTTGGTGGAGGAGGAGGAGGAGGTTGGAGGGAGGGGGACGGTGTTTCCCCTGGCAGGCTTGACGAGCTGGGATCCAGTTTCCTTTGATCTTGTTCAGGGGTGCTGTATATCCCGGGCAGCAGGACCCCCTCAGTGGGGTGGCACCTCTAACACGCTCAACCTCTCCTGCGCTCCAGGGGGGGAACAGAGGCTGAGGAAGGGGTGCCTCCTGGAAGCCGAGGGGGTGAGAACACCCCACCCCCACTCCGGTCTGGGGCAGCCCCCCCTTTCCCCCCATTCTCCACCTCCGCCCCCGCCTTCCTGTGTCTGGGTCTCATCTCTCTGTCTCCACAGCGCCCAGGGGTCTTGCGGACCCCAAGTGTCTCCCTGTCTCTCTCTCCATCTCTCGTCTGTCACCGGTTCTCTCCTGTGTGTCTCTGTCGGCGCCCTCTCTTTCACTATCTCTGTGGGTACCTTTATCTCTGCTTCAGTCCGCGTCTGTCTCTGTTCTGTCTCTGCGGATCTCTTCATATCATTACCCTGCATGTCTCTCTGTCTCTGGCTCTCTCTGTCTCTGTTTCTCTTTCCTTCTCTCTCTCTCTCTCTCTGGAAGCCAAAAAACAGCTCCTCCTACACACCTTTATCTCCACCCCCCCCCAACAGAGAAAGATTGTAGGAAGACCCCCCTACAGTGAGCTCCCCCAGAAGACCCGGGATCCCCCCAAATTCCTCACCTTCCTTCTGTTTGGCCTTCTCTCCTTCTCCTCGTTTCTGAGATTCTGAAGCCAGTCTGTATCCTTTGCTGTGGAGATGGGACCAGTCCTTTCTGCAGCCTCCTCCCTCTTCCTCTAGTCCAGGCTGGTCCTTCTGGTAGTCTAACTTCCTTACTGCTTGCTGCATGTTCTCCGTTCGTTCGTCCTTGTGACAAGTAGCAGGTGCCTTTCTCCTTCCAGGCCAGTCCTTTCCTCAGCCTCACCTCCATGGCTCTCACAGCATGCCAGCCTCGGACATATTGCCAACTGGGGGTGGATTTCCAAAGCTCCCCTACCCCTCCGGGACTCCAGGAGGGCCCTGGGCATCCGGAGGGCCCTGTCAGAGAAAGTGGGCGAGAGGCAGGGGTAGGCAGCATGTGTGAGCCTGTGGCTGTGGCGGGTCTAAGGTTGTGCTGTGTGCAAGGTATCTCCGGGGCTGCAGACCAGGGCACCCACGTGTGTAGTGACAATACTCACGGGGGTGGAACACGCAGGTGGGTTTAAGAGATTGCGGACATTGTTATCTCTGATTTGAAGTGGAGTACTTGGCTGAGCCTTTTTCTCCCTCTGGGCCTCGGTTTACCCCCCAGTGACCAGAATGATCTCTCTGTGTCCTTACACTCTGGAAGGGTGTTCGGTCCTCAGGCAGGGACATCTTGTGATTGTGAGCTCTGAGTGGGTGTGCTTCGGAAGTCCTTGTTTCCCGTCTCACACATCCGTCCCAGGGCCAGTGTGGGTGGGGGGACCCCGGCTCCCACTAGAAACACAGAACCAACACCCACCTTTCCTGGGGTAGCAGGTTTGGGGGCAGAGATCCACCCCAGCCAGAAGCACCCCTCTGTGAATTGGAGCTCCCCGACTCTGAGGCGGACGGGGGATGTTTGCCACTGACCCAGCTGGCCTGGAACGAGATGGCTCAGGGGATGTCTCCACCTCTCAGGGACGAGGAGCTGGTGCCCGCCATCTGCCCACCACGAGCCCACCCTGGGCTCAACCTGATCCCTTTGCCCCTGACTCTAAGCCTGGATTAGGTTTCAGGGCTGCTGGTGGGCAGGGCCTCCGTGGCAGCAGTCTGACCATTCCGGGCTTCAGCCCTCTTCGTTGTTCGTTTCACAAATATTTATCCAGTTTGTTCTCTCCTTGACCCTTCCTTTGCCAAGGCCCCTGTGACAGCAAACTGGGTTTCTGCAGGAAAAGGGATTGAATTGGGCTGCTGCCACGAGAACTCCCATCAGGTCTCCCTTGAGGACTGCAGCAGGAGGGACAGATGGCTAGACTCAAGGGAGGACTTCCCAGGTCATAGCCACTCCCAGAGAGAGTCCATTAAATACTTAAGGGGAATTTTTGCCTCCCAGGTGGCCCTGTTTCTCCTGAAAAGAGAGAAGGAGGGAGGGAGGGAGGCAGACAAGAGAGATCTGGAGTCTTTGCTTTGTTTCCTGGTGGGTTTGTAATTATGCGTAAGTCGTTGCTAATTAGGGGGCTGCTAATTAGTGTATCATTAGAGGCCTTGCCAAGAGGGCTAATTGTGTGGTGGCCCTTTAAGAATCACCCTTCTCCCCCGCCCACTATCTCTCTCTCTCTCTTTCACACACACACACACACACACACACACACTCTCTCTCTCTCTCTCTCACACACACACACACACACACACTCTCTCTCTCTCTCTCTCTCTCTCTCTCTCTCTCTCTCTCTCTCTCTCCCAGGACATTCTGCCAGTGATCCACTTCTCTCTCCCACAGGCACCAGCTCCCAACCTCTGTGGGTATATGTGTATGTAGGGAGGATGTTAGGCAAAGGTTATCAGACTTTGAGGAGAACTTTTCAGACAGAAATGGGAATCACGTGGCAAAGTGAGGGTAAATGGGGGGGGGTCACAGAGCATTAGGGGATGCCTCCTTTGCTCTTTATTTCCGTTTTTTTGTTTTTTTTTAAGAAGCTACTTACAACTTGTAAGCACAGAGTTGGTGCTGTGTGACATTGGCAAGTTATTTTCACTCGCTGAGCCTTGATCTTCCCATCTGTGAAATGGGCAGGATCTTCTTGAGGGCAATTCTATCATTTGGAGGAGGATGGTCCGAGTAGGGAGAATTGAGAAGATGACACCTGGAGACTTGGAGGAGCAGAGAGAGTCAGGTTTGTGGGTCGTTGGGAAAAAAGCGTTTCAGGAAAGGGAACAGCATAGACCAGAGCCCTGAGGCAGAAATGCATCTAGTATTTGGTGAGGAGCCTGTGAGCAGTTTAGGTTTCCACCTTCTTGGCGCAGATGTGTCTACAAGTTCTGGAGACCTTGTGCACTTGCTTAAATGCGTGCTCACAACTAAAGGCCACCAGGTGTGGTTGCCCAGGCTGTGCACTGCACAATGATACTGAGCTCAAGAGGTCAGTTTGGGGCTGGATGAGGACCAGAGACCTGAAAGTGTGACTGGATCAGAGCAAGTGAGGCAGAGAAGGTGGGAGATAGGACAGAGGGAAAGGGGGTGGGGAAACCTCTTCTGAAAACCCATTGGAAGATCAGCTATGAGTTGATTCCAACTCGACAGTACACAGCAGATGAGTTGAAGAAACAGCTGCTTGAACTCAAGATCAGAAGCAGGGAGACAAGTATGGAAACAGTAGAGAGCCACACGCCCCAAACTGGGACAAAAAACAATGAACACAGGGCCTTGTATATCCCAGCTGCTGCCTCAAAACAGGACAAAAACAATGAACACAGGGCCTTGTATATCTCAGCTGCTGCAAAAAGTTGTGCAATTTCTCTAAATCTAGAAAAGGTTCAAAGACCCAGGAGACTGGAGACAGAGAGACTTCTGACACTGTCACAAAGGATGGGATGTTTTGGACCCCCTTCCCCGTGTGTGAGCAAGACACCCTCCATCAGCTCCTTTCACCTCTACCTGGCCAAGACTGATGCCATAACATCTGTCACAGCCCAAACCACTGGGCAGTGGCCATAGGAGTTTAGGGCCCCCCAACTTCCAACACCCACCCACCCCTAGTGATACAGTCTGTGTTTTTTTGTGCCTGGCTTCATTCATCTGTTGCCATGCATGTTAGACTCATCTGTGTCATTGCTGAGACAGTCAAGAAGCCTCTGCTTTTTCACAGTTGCATAGTATTCCATTAGCGTGTTTCCCGGGTCGCCTGTTGATTCCATTTGACTGCTGCTGGGGGTGTTCCCAGATTGC